TCAGAAGTTTTAAAGATAAGATAAGTTCAAACTACAGTAAACCATATTTACACGTAATGTCAAGTTCTATCGTATGACGAATCGATGATATCAATCGGACAAAGCTGGAACTGACAAGGTATTTCGGTTTTACACATGGGACTGCACACAGTGATCAAAATAGTGGCGATATAAGGAATTACTCTGGATGTTTCCCACATTAAAAAGTATCAACCGAGGAGAATTACTGTACTATCCATGAATTTCCACGACGAACATGACGAATGGGACATGTAAACATTAGGCCACAGGCCGAAATATGTCGTGTTGATTGGCTGGTTATTTTAAGAAAACAATAACTGCGCTTCCAGCCACTCACACAGCGGGTTTCGGCACGTGGCTGACGTCAGCATTATGAACATGCACAAAGTGGGCCTATGAAATGCCGCGTGTTCTGTAGGAACGGAGATCATGTCTGCGGAAGGAAAATACATTTTAAGTGAATATAAGAGAGCTTTAAAAGATTTTTTTTGTATATAAACTAGAAATGTGTTTTTTGATGCAAGAAAGTAAGGTGGGGTCGATTTTTGGACATCGAGAGTTTTCTTCCCTTCTCGTATATTAACATCATTTGGGGTGGCACCGATAATTGAACTAAACCCCTAAAATGTGTAAAATTACACTAAACACCTTAGCTTAGGTCCAAATATAGCTGTAATACATTCTCAGGTACCTGTGGCTCAAACCAGACGAAGCGGTCGTCGGAAAGTTTTCACGTGAACTAGATTCGAGATCCCCGAGATACTGAATCTATGAATGTAAAGAAAACACGTCCGTAATGTAAATGATTTTTTAGGTTTTTCTCAATATTGGTATTGATTTTGAATTATAGAGATTGAATCAGGATTTGTCCAATGTTCATGCAAGCATGAATGGGGGGGGGGGGATATTTATACACTTCACATGAACGGTTTTCGCTTCGTCTTTTAATCGTCGATTATATCTTTTCTCGGGTCGATAAATACAGGTATTGACCGAAGTTAAAGGCTACAATTTGTTATTTATTATTTTACAAAACAGTAATGTTAGCAATCTGAAAAAGCTTCGGAAGTGGGACGGTACATCGTTTGAAGACACGTCATAATTTTATTTTTAGAAACACCCAGTCCTTCAACAAAAATCACGCGCTCCAAGTCAATATCGGTTTTTATCGGTGGACACGTGATGCACTCCTCTCTTGTCGGGAATAATATGAAAAAAATATAACCTATGCTATCAATCAGCAGAGTTGATGTTAACAACACATGTAATCGACGGCGTATGCTGTAAGTGTTGTTGACATCATATCTGCTGATTGATAGATTGATAGATCTTATGTTGTCAATAAGATATGTTGTCAAAAACGTTGTGAGCTAGAATCAAAAACGTAACATAGATGAGGAAACAGATGAGGTGTCAAGTTGCTGGACTGTACAAACAAGAACCTACACTCACTGCAGAACAACTTGTTTAATAGGAATTACAACGTACAAATGTACCTGTAAAACTTACCTGTGGGAACTCAATTATGTACTTATATATGCATTTTCTTTTATAAACTTATTATTGTCTTACATATCATGTTTATGTTTGTTATCCATGAAATACTCATTATTTAAAGCACATAATAGATACCGTATGCAGCACAATACTATTATGACATAAGAACACGCCAACAAAAAAATACGTTGTTAAAGTAAATGATGTCATTGAAAAGAAAAGAAATTAGCAGGCAAAATCAGAATAGCACTGGAAGTTGGGTTTATCATTTCTTTAACGAACTGGGGAAACCGGGGAAAGCAAAGTCAATGTATTGCAGTAGAGTAAATTTTCACCATGCATGCATGACTTAATAACTAAGAATTTCAAAATAATATCTTGAAATTTTAAAGATGATATCTCGAAATTAGACTAGGTATATCGAGAATTCAAGTCATCATTTCAATGTGTCAAGATTTTATCTTAACCATCTGGGTTAATTTGTCGACATTTTTAGTTACAAATACGAACAAATACAACACTTCTTTTCTACGTGGCACTTATGTGCTTCCGTACCTTCTGGAAATATCACATTTCATAGCATTCTTACCTACATGTTGTGCAGTCCCATTGTGTGTGTGTTTTTTTTGATTGGGTTAGTATTATGCAAAAAGTGAATGCATATTTATTTGCATTTGAGAGAGAGAGAGATCAGACTGCCAAATTTGAGTAGAAATTAAATAAAATGAATAACTGCTGTGAGCCTTTGTCAATATTTTGTTTTTAAGTACATTTGTTCCTGTATGTAACCATCAAAGAAAGATAGTAATAAGTTGGATCAGCCTGCATCGTTCAAAAACACAAATCTAACTTAAACTGTACATGTATACCTGCATCAGCAGTCATTGCTACTTATTCTAATTGAATAGAGACCTGCAGAAGACAATGTATAATATAAAAAGAAAGAGTGGTAAATATAGGTAAGGAACTATACATTGACAAGTGAGATTCCAATTTAGTGAGTATTGACGTTCTTACAACTATCATATTGTAAACAACATAGTAAGATATTGTGATCGTTTCTGCTTCATTGGAATATATGAACCATTGTCTATTAAAATACATATCACATAACTGACGCTTTAGTGGAACCTCATTCACACACTCATTCCTTCTTTATACATTTACAACAATGAAACTATTAACATATTTGGTAAAAACGAAAACCTTCAGCGAATCGAGATAACGCATGGCTGCATATAATTCGTATTATTCCATTCAACATTTAGGCAACCCGAATACGGCAAAGCTACTCACATATAATTTCAAATTCATTAAGTACAATAAAGGGACGCAATCAGTCCCCCGAATGAAATATATTGAATGTATGCCAGCTAATATCCTTTTTAAATGACAAATGATTTTTGTGTCATAATAAAAAATAAAAAAAATAATACATAAAATACATTTACGGGATTAAAATAAGTTGGAGAAATGTATTTTATAGACCAACTACGAATTTGAACTTCTACTATGCAAATGTGTGTAATCTTTTATAGAAAACTCACTTATAAAGATAAAATGATACCAAAACAAAATGGTCTGGATTTATAGATAATAACAAAGTAAATATTTATTGATACAAATATATCCTAAAAACAGAAAATATTAGCTGTCTGTTTGATATGTATAATATGCCAAGAGTATATAACTTAGTTAGAGAGTTTTGTGATTTGTCTCGAGAAGAGTTATGTCCTATGAGAGGTGCATACATTTAATCTACCTAACGCACCGACAGTATTTATATCATATCAAATTTACTAGAACTGCTTTGCGTCACCTTGCACAATGATACACACGATATAAAACTATTAGATTTACAAGTACACTCTCACATACAAACGAAATGTAACCCTCCAATATACCTATTTACACACTCTACCCCGGACTGTTCGTTGATCTTGGGTGTCGTACCAAGGTACTCGTATTATGTTTTGGCCTTTACTAAGGTTCTGGATGATAACTTTAAGTGTCAAAATGAATGCCACGTCTGAAGAATGAAAGGATGCACACATAATGCAAATTGGTATGTGAACTATATATAGGCGATCTTATAACTACAGGGGCCAGACAATCTTATAAAAGCGGCCATTATACTTATACAACTTGTGCATAGAGCGTGTCTTTGTTATGAACGCCGATATATATTTACCTCACATGTAAATGTCAAATAATTATGTGGTTAAATAAACCTCAGTCATATGCAAATCAAGCAGTGATATTCAGATTACTCAGTAGTGTTGATGTGTAACCATGCGTTGCTATCTGCACGAAATGCTCTTCCAGGAAGAACTTGCTCGATGACCATATAAGGTACAGTCAAGAATACTTTTTAAAATTCTGTATTGTTGTATATTGCAATTTGAGTATACGTCGTCGAAACATTGAGCTGTTCTCAGAACCTGAATAAAGGTGTTTGTTTAGGAGCTAACGGAGTAGTGCAGAGGAATGTCCGTCTGCTTGATAACTTAACGGTGACGTGGACGTAAAGCAAATCAAACATTGACAGTCCCATCCTCGTGAAACATTGTAATGTTATACAGCCGTCACACCGGACTGGCGTCCCTACGGCGTCCCTACGGCGACCCAGGACGTGGAAGGGACGCCATGGACGCCGTAGGGTCGTCGTGAGACCGCATCAAGACGCCGTGGGGACCCCAAGGACGCCGAAGGTCGCGGAGCGACGGCGTTTACTTTGGACATGTTCAAAGTACACGCCGAGGTTCGGCGTCCTGAGCGCGTCCTGGCTCAGGACGCCGTGGGATCGCCCTGATGTCGCCATTGTCGCCGTAGCATCGCAGTAGGAAACCCGAACAACGCCAAAGGAACGTAGTACAGACGTGGTAGAGTCGCCATGTAAACGCGGAGAAAAGGATCGGGGGAACCAATGGAGACCTTACTGCGTCCTTACCACGTCTATGGGGTTCTTACCACGACCCCATCACGTCTATGGCGTCCTTACCGCGATTTCGGGATTTGAGCTATTGTCCGCGACCTTACAACGTTCTCAATGCGTCCCTGCGGCGTAAATGGCGTTTCTACGGGGGGCCTACTACGACTATTGCGTTTCTACGGAGTTTGCACTGCGTTCCTAGCGCGTTCCAACTGTTCGCCCTCGAAGAGCTATAAAACCCAATATTTCATCCTATCTTTATCAGTTTATTTCTCGTACTCACCATCACCAGGGCCGAATAAATGATGAACTTGCTCGCACTGCAACATATACTTATTGTCCAGCAGCAGCAGCAGGCAGATGATCATGTCATAGCTGTAAAACTGATCAGACGGCGAAGGAGAAGAAGGGCAAGGCTAAGAAGATGCTGGGTTAGACCATGGCTCGGTGATGTCCGAAGAGAACAGTTTGGCCACTTCAACCGCCTCATGCCTGAGCTGAGGCGAGAAGATCCGCATCGTTCCAGAATTTCCTTAGGGTTCAACCAGAAATGTTTGATGAGCTGCTCACCAGGCTTGGCCCACGAATCACCAAGCAGGATACAAACTACAGGAAAGCCATCAACCCAGGGTCGAAGCTGGCAGTCACTCTACGCCACCTAGCGTCTGGTGACATGTACTCCAGCATGAAATTCGACTTCCGACTCCCAGCGAATACATTGTCTCTTGTCGTGAAGGAAGTATGTCAGGCCATAGAAGGCGAGTACAAGGATGAGGTGATGAAGTGCCCTATCACTCCTAGGGAATGGACAACAGTAGCCGAGAAGTTCGAGCGCCGCTGGAACGTCCCTCACGCGTGTGGTGCGCTTGACGGAAAACACGTTGCCATAAGAAAGCCAGCAAACAGTGGGAGCCTGTACCATAACTACAAGGGATTCTTCTCCATCGTGTTAATGGCACTAGTAGATGCTGATTACAACTTTTTGTGGATAGACGTGGGGGGAGATGGCTACATGTCAGATGCCATGATCTACAACGACTCCGAACTGAAAGAGTGCCTCTGTGACGGTTCCATAGGTTTTCCAGTTCCTGCACCTCTGCCATACGACAACCGGGATACGCCATACTTCCTCCTTGGCGACGATGCATTTGGTCTCCGGACTTACATGATGAAGCCCTACGCAGCGCGCAACCTGACGAAGGAACAGCGAATCTACAACTACCGCATCTCCCGAGGCCGAAGAATAGTCGAAAATGCCTTTGGCATTCTGGCACAGCGTTGGCAGGTTCTACTAGGGACTATGCAACAGCAGCCTGAGACAGCAAGGCTCATTGTGGAGGCTTGTGTTTGCCTCCACAACTTGATGAGAATGCGCTACCCGACCGTACAGAACGGAGCTCTCGACCACGAGGACGTCAACCACGAAGTTGTCCTAGGTTCGTGGAGGAACAACGTGAATATGCACGACGTGGACCGGGCTAAAGGCGCTAACAAAGACAGCACTGCTGCGAAAAAGCAACGTGAATATTTAAAGTTATACTTTAACTGAGCTGTGGGATCAGTCCCATGGCAGGACAAGATGATATAAACATTGCCATATAGTGTACGTGGAATAAAGCAATAAAGTATATTGTGAATAAAACATATCGAGATGTTAAGAAAAGAAAAATAACGTTTGTAATGATTATTAAATACAACTGTTTATTAAAAAGGATGTTGTTTGTTTTTTGAGTGGAACATAAATTTGGTTATAATAAGAGCTTTCCTTAAAAAAGATAATCTTCTTGTACATAGTTATTGAGATCTTTCTATTTACACATGATATTTTAAGAGTAAAAACGAAAGATACATGAATGTAATGTTTCAGATATACAAATGTTTGTAAAGAGCGCTGGTATCGAACCTCTGTCTCAGTCAACATATTTCTCAAAACGACCATGCTATTCGGGCTTTCACATCGATGACCTGCGATTAATTGTACTAGAAGGCGTAGTATCCATAATCACATAACATTACATATACAACAAAATAACACATGTAATTGCACTGCTTAGTATCCATCATAACATAACATAACATAGATAACAAAAACATATAGCACTGTTTAGTACCCATCGTATCATAGCATAACATATAACACAATAATAATAGCACTGTTTAGTGCCCAGCATAACATAACATCACATATATATAAAGATAATAGCACTGTTTAGTATCCATTCTAGAGTATTCACAGTTTGCCACAGTTTATAATCCAAGTATTCCAGCTCACTGGCTAGTGTCAGAGCGCTGAAGTGTTTTCATGAATGACTCATTGAAGATCCCGCTGAAAGAAGAGACCTCCTCGCCCCGTGGGGAGACTGTAGTTGACCCAGCAGCTGAGGTGGCAGGGTTCTGTGGGTTACTTCTTGAGCGAGGTTGTAGAGTGGTTAAGCTCGGCTCAGGGTGCATCTGAGCCTGCACCCATGTGGAACTCATTGAATCCCACACCGATGTGGTCTGAACAGTGGTCGGCCAGTTCTGGGGCGGAGGCTGCCATTGCGAGGACTGGGATGACTGCTGAGAGGAGCAATGCTGTTGCTGGTCAGGCTGCCACGTTTGCTGTTGCGGTTGGAGTGGCTGGGAGCGGACCTTGTCGTGAAGGTCCAAGTACTTGTAAAGCAGCTGGCTCAGTTCCTGCTGGAACTGTCTCCACAAGCTTGGGTCCAGGTCTTCCATCACCGATTTTGCCCAATCCCCATACGTAGCCCGTTCGCTGGGACGCGCAGCTGGCTTGATAATGTCAAGCATGTTTTCTTGTAGCTGCATGGACTAGCGGCCCCTTTCATCCAGGGTTCTGAGCAACATTTCTTCCTCCGCAGTGGCCCGGGATGAGGAACGCTTTGGCCTGACATCGAGGATGACAGGCCTCTTAGGCTCTTCTTGCGACGAGGTGGGAACAGACGTTGACGGCAGTTGCTGATTGTTGTCGTCATTGTCCACGGACTCGGCATCATCGTCCACCGAAGTCTGGGCTGCCAGCTTAGCCTTCAACTGCAAAGACACAAGGGAAAACAACGATTAAGTTAGAATTTGGATTTGCCTGACGAAAATTAACTTATGCACGACAGGGCATTTAATATGCAAATAACAAAAAATTAGAATTTACGAATAATATACATTTTTGTATGTTATTTGTCCCTAATACTAGTGTACTTACACTGACCAAGGTTCTTGGCCGGACCTCATAGATGTGCGACTTTAAGAAGTCAAACTTGTCCATGATCCATATATCACGCTCGGTGCGGTCGCCAGTCCCAGCCCCAGACTTCGGCCTTGCCACTTTCCCATACCTGGTCCGAATGGACCGGTACCACACGGTAAGGAGGACCACTTCCTTACCAAGTTTACGGGCCTGCTCAGCCCAGAGCGCGTCCTTCTTGCCCTTATCCTTGTATGAGGATAACTTCTTGTTGAAGAGCAGTGGGTGCTCCCTAAGCCAGTCTACCATGGCCTCCTCTTCTTCGGGCGTCAGATCACTACGCACAAGCCTGCTCCTCTTGGTTTTACGGCATGGACTGTCACATTTTGTAGCGCTGGCTGTGTGGACTGTGTGTCCGATTCCGCTATATCGACGCTGGAGTCCCTTTCAGGAGACGACGCTGGTGCTGGAGATATTGAGGCTGTCCTGGCTGCTATACCTCGCCCACGCCCACGGCCCCTGGTTTTCGGCATAACGTTGCGTATAAGTTTAAAATGCGTACACGTTAAAATGCGTGACCTCAACGGATGAGAGTAAAATAATGAATGAAGCTTTCCGAAAGAACAGTGGAGTTTTATACTCGCAGCGAGGACGCCGTTGGGTCGCCCTGCAGTCGCCGTGGGAACGCCATGCACGCGGTAAGGTCGTGGTAGAAACGCTAAGAACGCAGTGGGGTCGCAGTGGGGTCGCCGCTGATCGCCGTATGGACGCCGCAGTGACGCCGTGTAAACTCAATAGAAACTCCAAGGACGCAGTAAGAACGCGGTAAGGTCGTGTTGGGAACGCCGTGTACATACACAGATCGCAGAGCACAGAACTCCGGTGTGACGGCTGACTCGAAATCTGGATTTATTTTAGAAAAATCATTGGCGTTCTCAATGCGACCATCGGCGTTCTCCAAAATATGACAGTTTAGGACGCGGTAAGGACGCCAGTCCGGTGTGACGGCAGTATNGCCGTATGGACGCCGCAGTGACGCCGTGTAAACTCAATAGAAACTCCAAGGACGCAGTAAGAACGCGGTAAGATCATGTTGGGAACGCCGTGTACATACACAGATCGCAGAGCACAGAACTCCGGTGTGACGGCTGACTCGAAATCTGGATTTATTTTAGAAAAATCATTGGCGTTCTCAATGCGACTATCGGCGTTCTCCAAAATATGACAGCTTAGGACGCGGTAAGGACGCCAGTCCGGTGTAACGGCAGTATTAGAATGGCGTCCGGTGTAACGGCAGTATTAGAAAGGACATTCACATGTATTCAACTAAGAATATCTCTTTTGTTTTTTCTGGAACAAAATGATATTCAAAAAGACGAATGAATTTTGCAGCTGTAAAGATTGACTCGTTCCTTGATACCACCTTCTATGTGAAACTTCATGTGGATAAATGAAATATATTTGATGTGGATAATATGTGATGTACAAAGTTTTGTGAATACATTGTGAAGCTAATATTTGATGTGGATACTGAATTAACCATTTGAGGTGGATACAACGTGAGGTAAACATTTGAGGTGGATACAACGTGAGGTAAACATTTGAGGTGGATAAAATGTAAAGCAAAACATTGATGTGGATAATATGTGGAGTTAACATTTAATGTGGATGAAATTGGTAGAAAACGTTTGATGTGTATAAACGGTGAAGTACCCAAATTCTGGTTACAACACCACTGACAAATACCAGTGGATACGACATCAAGGTACATCATAATTCTTGTCAACCAGAGATAAGTTATCTTTGTTATTTCTTAAGCAGTTCATTTGCGAATGTTTCAAATAATTCTTATTTTATTTTATTCTTCCATTGAATATTTAATTTTTTGTCTACCTCGTGCTTTGCGATTTATACTTCTTTTGCTCTTGAGTCCCTGATTTGTATAATTATTATTAATCAGAATTAATCGCATGATTATCACACGTTACCAATGGTCATATTTAAGTTATCCCAATAGCGATCTTTCACTTTTATAAAACGACTCATAAAAAAAACCCAAATTAAATGCATAAGATGGTAACGTTCGAAAACGAGGACGGTATTCATGGGCAACGGCCTTTGGTGTCTAGCACCCTGTCTATAAATATAGTTAGAGGTGACATGCAGGAAGTGTTATCGTAAAAATAGTATTAAACTTGAACATGAAGAAATTTTCTATCAGATATGCCGATATTCATCAATTTTTAGAATAAAATTGACGCAGAACAAGTACAAAAATTACTTTTCAGACGCATATATTGCTTCGGGTTTACTGAAGTATAAAACCAGAAGACATTAATCAAAATAAACCACAATTATTTGGTTTCGAAGAAAGTGTGCTTTTCTTATAGCATGAGATGATAATTTATGTAGTTTGAATGGGACAGAAATAAAATAAAATACAATAAACATGCTTGATTAAGTCTACTAAATTTCAATAAACTCACTCAATAATGGTTGTTTGGTATTTTATTAGCAAGCTTATATGTTTTATGCAGTACAAATAGTGATCATGTTGTTCAATCGTTTCCCTTTCAGATATAAACATGGAATATGACGACGACGAAGATCCCGCTGAAGCTAGTTTGGCGATTAGTTATGTTTTGGATGGCGCCGGGTATTTATTTCCAGGTTTAAAACTACATATCTTCTCATTTGCAGAATTTTTCCTTGACATCATTGCTATCACTGCAGGCTTGAACTTGTTTAGATATAAACAAAAACTCATAGGAGGTGCTGGAGAAGGACTTTTAAACTTCGCAATGTTCAATGGCACCACATGTGATATAGACATCATGCAAATTCTTTCAAAATGTGAGGCATATGATCACAGTAATGTTGATGTCTCCCAAGGACATTGGCAATTTCAAATGGAGCCATGTGACAGAAATCCGGGATATGTGAAACTGAAGGTTATTAAAGAAGGAACAGTATTCACTCTTCCTCTGTCAACATCTATAACAAGTTTCTTTGAAAACGATTCTGACTCCAATGTTTGTTATTTATCAAATGCAATTCCAGCCTCTCTGAACAATTTTGCTGGTAACGTAAATTTCACAAAGCGATATACACAAAGCTTTGAAATGGAGGACACATTGACGGAACAAGTTGTAAGTGGACCATCACTTTCTCGAGTCACCGAAAGGGAATTTAGACCAGGAATATTTGCAGTTAATAAGATCGACCAAGTTATCTCCATTCCTTGTCCCTCATGGCCTTCTGTTGCAGTAGAATGGGTAAAGCGCAAGCGTAACTATGACTGGCCTACCAACAAAATCATATTAGAACAAGTGCAGCGAGGTTGCTATGTCGTTCCAGTCGGATGCAAA